ATAAAAAAATGCTATGCTAAATAAAAAATGTTTTCAGCTGCTGTATGAAGCTGGTAACAGATGATGCCTGATGAATATTAATTGGCAAAGAGTTCCAGATTTTTGGCGTGCTCCTTCACCATCTTTCTGTGCTTCATCTGGGCAACATGTAATAAAGCAGCACTTCACAAAAAAAAACGATTTGGAACATATTATGAACATCTTGCACCTTAAACAGGTGATTCAATCATGCCTGGGTATAAAAAGAGCATCCAGAAAAGGCAGAGTGTTTAATGAGTGAAGATGGGTCAAGGCTCGCTACTTGGCCAAAAATGCATCTGCAAATAATCAAAGAATAAAACAATAATGTTCCTCAGTGATAGACTGCAAGGATTGTAGATATTTTAGCCTCTATAGTGTATAATATCATCAAAAGATTGATATGGAGAAATCTCGGTGTGTAAAGGAAAAGGCCAAAAATCACAACTGAATGCTGAACCTTCGACCCCTCAGATGGCACTGCATTAAAACAGGCATGTTTCTGTGATGGAGATCAGCACATGGACTCAGGAATACTCAAAAAACACTGTTCAATGCTTCATCCACAAATGCAAGTTAAGAATGTACTCTGCACAGTAGAAGTCATATAACAACAAGAAACCCCACTGACTTCTCTGGGCTCGAGCTCATCTGAAATGGACTGATGCTGCAAGCATCAAATTTGGAATAAGCATATATTTACAAAAAACAATGAAGTTCATAAGGTAAAACCGCAATTATTGTGTTTTTGTACCATTTTCAATTTAATACAGGTCAAACAGAATTTACTAATCACTGTTTTTGTCTTTATCAGCATTTCACTCACTGTCTCTTCTTTGGAACTGGGTTTGTAATTCATTATATTCAACTAAATATAATTAATGATGTAAATGAAATTGTTTGTATAGCACTTCTAAGGGTTAAAGTCAGTGGTGTATTAATGACAGACAGTCGAATTTGAGGTTTCAGAGTTTGTCGTTTGTCATGAAGCATCACGTCTACCATTTCAGAACAGGGATTCTCCCAGCGTGAGTCAGCTGATAAGCAACTCTGTGTGTAGGCGAGTGTAAGACGGGACACGTTCTGCAGCTCTGATCACATACCTGACCAGAAAATTGAGGGCAATCGGCCCAGTCTTCTTGGAAAAGTCATGTTCCAGAACTCTGCGGTCCAGCTGCAGCCATTTACAGTGACCACTAGGACAGCAAGAGAATGTGGAAACATGACATCATCATAAAAATCACACTGAACTAAAAAGTGTAAAAACTTGAATAGGGCACACTTTTAAAACTACACTCTGAAAAATGATTGTTCTTCAAGGCTTCTTTAGTAAAGACAATGGTTCTATACAGAACCAAAAAGGGTTCTGCTATTGTATTCAAGCTTGACATCATTACAAAAACAGAACCCTTTTTGTGCTATACAGAACCTTTTTAAAAAAAGTTTCTATATAGAATCATATATGTAAGAAAATATTTGAGTAAGTTCTTAAAAAAGATCTTCAAGGGTTCTTCAGTAAAGAAAATTGTTCTTTATAGAACCATGAAAACTCACCCTTAGCATGATTAAATGGCTTTTTGCATCATGAAAGGGTTCTTCAGATTGATGGAGAATGTGCAGTATATAACACCTTTTTGAAAAGGGTTCCTTTATTGTTATGCTATATAGAACCATTTTCTTTACTAAAGAACCTTTGGAGAAGCATTGTTTTAAAGTGCGTGCATCTTAAGTTTTTTTTTTTTCTTTTTAAGATCATTGGGCCTCATTTACCAATATCCTCCGAAGTTTCTTCTTCAGTGTGTTCTTGAGAAAGGTCCTAAGAAAACAGTCTGCGTCAGATTCATGATGTGTTCTTAAACTACAGAATTGTTAACATTTGCGCTCTTGAGTGTGTGTAGATTCTCTTCTTACCTAAGAACAAATCCCAAATAAAACACTGGCGAATGTCAGAATTTTTGTGAAAACAGCACAAGTAAGAAATTTCTTCTTACAAACAGTTGGTGAATGAGGCCCAATTTTATGAACTTCTTAGTGTTTGTCTTAGAAGTTTTTTGTTTAGGAAAGCTTTTGTAAATCCTGCTTCTGGCATTTTAGGTTAATTTCATGTTGGTCTTCTGTGAATGGCTGTGAGAATGAATAAAGTTACTCACATGTCATCAACAAAAGTGAAGCCGAAGTATTCCTTCTCTTTCAAGTTAAAGTGGGAGGAGACTAAATCCAGGAGTTCCCGCGACAACAGCTTTGGCTACAGACAAACATAAAGCGGAGTATTTACGGAAAACTAAACCGATGCTAACCATTAAATGCATACACTGGTCTACCAGGTCTTCCAGGCGGTTGTTAGGAGCCCCATTTTCTTTGTAGCTTTTCATCAGTTTTTCAACTCCAGTTTTGGAAATTCCTGTTTCGCTATGGTTGCTAACAACAAATGATATATGATACACATTTTCAGAGACTGCCCTTCATTCATTTAATTTCCAGTCAATTATGAAAATGATTCATTTTTCAGCATCAGGAAAAAACAGATAACACATTTAACATAAACTGACACAGAATCCTCAACAGTTAACTGTAATATAAGCTGTTTGAGTGTTCAGTGTGACTGGGCCAAGTACCAAAGTTCAATCTTAGGCCTAACTCTGCGTGGCGTGAGTGAAGTGGCAGTGTGTGTGCTACAGCTCAAAAACGCTGGCCTTTCATACATGCAGTGTTTGTTCTGCGAAGCGGAGCAGCAAGAACGTTATACAATCATCCCTTTTTCCAGACGGATAAATGGTCACATCAGCCACTCTGCTCAACAAAAATATAATTTATGAAAGTGCATCGTATGTTTGTTTGTTGTCGACAGGATTCTGACTTCTGATTAGGAAAAAGTTTCACTCTGTTTCACTTTTTTAAGTTTTCATGGCTTATTTTAGTGTATTTTGCTGTGTGACACATGCCAGGTCTGTTCTCCAAATGCTGTGCTGCTTAAGTACGGCATCTGGGATGCTCTGCTGCTTTGCACGCACAGCCTGTTTGAAAGCGCTAAGCAATTAACATGGGCGCCAAAATGAAAAGCATGTAATCCAAATACATTCAATGATTTTGAGGTCTGGACTCTGGGGAGGTCAGTCCATTGTTCAGCTTCTTTGTTTGATGTCTTTGTCTCCTTTTCTCAAAGCGCTGAGTTGTGTTCTCACAGTGGAAGGATGGACAGAAAGACCTGTGGATGTTTTCAGATCTGAAGCAGCTTGATTTTATCCTCTCTCTCAAAGATGAAAGTTATGCTGTTTATCTGATGGGGAGAGTTTTGGTGTCTGCCAGGTCTTCCAGGTGGTTGTTGGGAGTCCCATTTTCTCTGTAGCTTTCAATCAGTTTTTGAACTTTGAATATTTCCCCACTTTGACTTTCCCTTTCATTATGCAAGTGGATTATCTGGGATCTAATCTCACAAATATGAAGGGGGCAGGTCTCTGACTTTTGCTTGGTACTATAAAAATCACTGTGTTAGATTAAAGTTCTGGGACACTAATGAACGGAGGAGGTATTTACAGACAGTTTGAGGAACGTCTTTGAAGTTTAGCTTCCACAATTTACAACCATGACAGCTGGACAAAATCTTCTCACTCTAGTGTTTGGGGTCAGAGCCAATCTGTATGACTTTCATGACTCGACTGTGACTTCTTATGAGAGCTGGATGCTGATCAGAGAGTGCAGACCCTCAGCAAAGTCCTGCTGTGAGCTGAATAAGCCAGCAGTGATGGGAGGAACTCTAAAGATTAATGCAGACCAACCTTAAAATAGCTCTTAACCTCATCATGCTCTCAACAAACAGCTCTGAGACACTCTGTTGAATTTCAGTGGCACTTCTCAGTGAAAATCACACAAATAAATCCATGCTGGCACATTTAGTTCTCCACTGTTTACTCTCAATGACGTCTGGTTCCATGCTGTCGACTCTCATTGACATCACAGGTTGTCAGGCGTTCAGAACAGTATTTCAGGGTTTAAAGCGATAGTTTCCGTGGTTACACTACAACCAATCATATATGTGCACTACATCTGTTTCCATGGTTACACCTCATCCATTTTCATTGTTACATTACACCCATTCCCATGCTTACACTATATTTGTTTCCATAGTTTCCTAGTTCCGTTATTTCATGGTTTCCGTGGTAATGCTACATCTATTTCCGAGGTTACACGACATCCGTTTCCATGGTTATGCTATGCCCACTTCAATTGTTATGTTACACCACTTTTCATTGTTTTTATGTTCATACTACATCTTTTTCCATGGTTATGCTACACCTTTTTCCATGAGTATTCTACAACCATTTGCATTGTTATGTTACACCAATTTCTATGGTTACTCTACTTCCATTTCCACAGTTACACTACATTAGTTTCCATGGTTACACTACATCTATTCCCATGGTTACACTACATCCATTTCCATGGCTCCCTAGTTCCATGGTGTCCATGGTTACACTTCACCACTTCCATCATTACGTTACACAATTTTCCACTGTTGCACTACATCTGTTTCCATGAATACGCTACACCTATTTCCAAAATTATTCCATGCCCATTTGCATTGTTGCATTACACCAGTTTCTATGGTTACTCCATGGTTTCCATGGTTATACCACATCCGTTTCCTCAGCTCCATGGTTTCATGGTTTCATAGTTATGCTACACCTATTTCCATGATTAATGATAGTTAAGGTAAAAAAAATCATTTATCTTTTCATGCCCTTACAGTGTGAAATTACACAACAACTCTACATAGTCTCAGGTGAGTGTGTGATGCTTTAGGCCTGCAGTTAGCACCATGTTAATTCATGCTAATTGGTGGGGTGTTAGTAAATTGGATTTTTTGACATTTTAACTTGCTTTAAGGGATTTTGATTGTATGTTTTTTACAAAGAGAGTGAATCAAACAAAAGTCCTAGAGTATAAAAGCTTTAACAAAAGTCCTAGAGTATAAATAATCTTTACACTACGAAAAAAGCATTTTGACATTTTATGCAATACAGTGACATTTAGCTATTTATAATCTTATTTGTAAATAACTTAAAGGACATTTGAGAAATGCAGATCTGCTCTCACCCAAAATACTGAATGATCAGAACCTTGAATGAGATGATATCAGGTATGTTTCATTTCAATCTGACTTGCTTTGTGATTGTTACAGTGAGCGGTCGTACCTGAACCAGCAGCTCCAGTGTCCTGTTGTCCAGCAGGTGAACCTGGCAGAGGCGTCCCTCTGTCATCTGCACACAAACAGCTCAGATTAGATCATTATAACTCATCAGATCCCTTTATTCACGCTAACTGTCCCAAACCACAGGCACAGTACCGAGGATGAGGGGAGGCGAGTCATAATGTAGATGATAGAAATAGAATTATAGCCTGGGCTTAATGATAAACATCCATATACACATTCACCACTGATATATGGAACAGTGGAATAGACAGATTTCAATGGTTATGCTGCACCTATTTCCATAATTATGCTACATCCATTGCCATGTTTATACTACACCTGTGTCCATGGTAACTACATCTATTTATATGGTTACGCTACACCTGTTTCCTTAGTTACACTACACCCATTTCCATTGTTACACCACATCCATTAAAAACAGTTGAAAACATATTTCTTTACTTCAGCATTTGACTATTTCTTTTTTATTGTTTCCTTTGTTTTTACTGGAATCTTACATCTACATTCTTGTTAGTTGTATTTTTATTGCATGTTTATTCATACATATCTTGTGCATTTTAATTTTAATTATTATAAATATATCCCCTTTTCTGCCATTGCTTTTTTTGTTAAATTTATATTGTTTATTTTTTTCTCTTCTTCCTCTGTTGTTTTTACTTTGTATTGTGAAGCACTTTGAGCTGCATTTTTAATGTATGAAATGTGCTATATAAATAGAGATTATTTATTATTATTATTATTATTATTATTATTATTATTACACCTATTTCCCTAGTTACTCTACACAAATTTCTATGGTTATGCAACACCCTTTTACATAGTTACATAACATCCATTTCCATGGTTAGGCTACACAAAGTTTTATGGTTATAATAATAATAATTATAATAATTATTAAAATAAAAGCAATAATAATATGTTTTATTTATGTAGCAAATTGTTTTGCTTTCTAATGGGAACTGGCTTAATGTTTTCCAATAGAGACCACTAGTTCTGTGTAGAACACCTTTAGATCCCATTAGGAAACAATCAAATGCATTAGGAATCAGCCATTTTCACCTGTTAAACCGTTAGAGTCCTTTAGATTGTGATACTAACCCATTAAAAAGCCAAAACACATTACAAAACTATCAGGAACCAACGCAAATGCATAATGGCTTCTATGGGTTCATTCAGCAGGGATGTAGGCTAACTGGTGGTTTTGGACAGTAAATAAAATGTCTATATTTGTGTTGTAGTCATGGCGACCCCTGGTTCCTATCACCACCACTGTAAAGACATCTGAACCATTTCACACCAAACCACTCTGAATCACTCTGATTACAGAGTGAATTATGAAGAAATGTTGAAAATTTTGGTAGAATTTCCCTTGAATGCATCGCTTTTCAGTATATGTTTGTTTGTAAAGGATTGTTTTCTGATTGTGGCATTCTTTACTTGCAAGAAAGCTGCATTTTTGGAGGCAAACAACAGTAACTCAAACTTATTGAGCAATTTTAAAAATGGGTGGAATTTCCTTTTGAAGCTCTTTACCTTCAATAGAAACAAAAAACTGCATCTCACTAAAAGACCATAAAAGACAGACGACACTCAAAGAGGCGATTTAAAGCACAGGCTTGACTGGGTTGAAGGCCAGGTGCCCTGAGTAATTCAGGTCCTCTGGTGGGTCATTTATTTATTTATCTATCTATTTATTTACACTGCACCTATTCACACACATACACCAATGCTCGTCTATATATGCATGTTATTCATATACATGACTGCTAATTTGACTTGGAAATCAGAAACAAGAACTTAGAGTAAAATGCATGAGATCAGAGCTCAAACGACAGCTCAGAAAGAAAAAGCAGACTTTTTATTATTATTTTTTTTTTAAATCAGGAAATAATGGGCTTATTTGTGACGTCAACATCAGCCAGCCCACTGCTCTGCTCCCACAGCCAGAACACCATGTTAACACTAGACTGACTGCAGTCTTCTTCAGAAGTGATGTGGACTGAGAGTGACATTTAAAGAAATGGCACGTTATTAAAGATGTTTCAACCAAGAAAAGGAGAAGAAAGAGATGCTTATTGGTTGTTCTATTGGAAAAGTTCTGCACTGTTTTAATCAGGAAAAATGTATTTTTTGCCATCATTGCTTTAAGTTGATCAGAAAGACTTTAGCTTGTACAGGTCTCAGTTGTTTTGGTGATGTTATGGGTTTTGCAGAGTAAACTCTACCACAGCATCGCACAGCATTGGTCAGAGCACAGGTATAGCACATATGAGCTACAACAAAGGTTTTGAGTTTTTGGTATCAAAGTCTTTATAGGTAAGTCTGTCCACTCTGTGGCCATATTACTTATGAGACAGCCATACGAGACCAAACTCTCTCTTTCTGAATGGGGAGAGACCAAAATACTTTAACCTGAAGGTCAAATTACTATTTAAAAAAACATATTTGAATTCACTGATAAAATCTGACAAAAGCCTCATAAACAGCTTGTAATGTTTGGCTCAATAACACACAAAAATGTATTTTTTGGTTTGTTCTGGCTACGAGGGGGGCTTTTCCTGCTAGTGACGTAGCAAGCAAGCTGACTGGCTCTTTTTCTTGAAGGGTGGGACTTCCTCCGACGCCATGTTGAGTGTTACAAGAGCTGTGTCCCAATTCAGGGACTGCATCCTTAGAAGGACGTGGTCTATGAAGGCATGTCCTTCGAAGGCTGCGTAGACCCACAAAACAACTAAATGAGACGGTCTACTCTACAGCGGATTCCTGTTTGCCTCACAGCACCGCTGTTCCCGCTCTTACTGTGCCTGCCAAATTATTTTAAAGTTCTTTAAAGACGGAGCCAGAAATTCATTTATTATAGCTGGAGATGCTTCTCTCTGTCTGGTCCTTGCTCCCTAAAACAAAACGAGCCCCTGAATTGGGATGCAGCTAAGCTGTTGCACTCATATTTCAACCAGTGACCATTTCCTCTTTTACGTCTCTGGTGGTGTTCGATGTGCAGTAACGTTAATCATCGGTTCTGCTGATTTTAGCCATGTGACTACATTTGTCCATGCTTACTAAATTTAGTTCAGTCAGGAGGGAACTCGGTTCTGTGGTGTTGAGTTATGCTGATTTTATGGATTTCAACTGCGCCCTCAGGGCCAACCAGTGGGTTAAAGCTCATAGTCCATACAAGTAACTGCACAGTTTATCAGTGCCCCGACTCCATTCATCACCGGTCAATTTCTGACCAGAGGAGCGCAGCTACCCAGATATTATTTGGTGGGTCATTCTTAACACATGCTAGAAGTGTGTTTATGAGTTTATCAGGCACAGTGGTGTTGCTGTTGGTTTTATATCTATACACACAAGCCTCTACACTATATTAACGTAATTTTTAAAACAGTAAAATATTCTATGTAAAAAAAGAAAACTTTTAGCCATCATTTTCATTCTATCTGGTTTTTGAAAGTAGCAACATGTCCTTCTTTTCATATGTAGGCTATATGTAATCCTATTAAACAGCTAGCTAGTTAGCAATTAACTACGCACTCAGACTGGGCAGTGAACAAATATCATTGATCAAAAAATAAATAAAAAGACAGAAATTGCTTTCACATTATTCTCACAGAACTGATAAAGCAGCTGAGAGCGGGAGAGCAGTGTAGCATGATAAGCTAACCCTAAAAAGCTATAAATTTAGTGTTGATTAGAAAAGTAACTACGTTACATGTTATTTTCACTCTCCTTAGACATACACTAATGTTATACTATGAGGCTAATCAGTATAGCAAGTTAAAAAATGATGATCTGAACGGTAACATTGAAAGAAATGATACTCTAAAAACATACAAATTAATTCTTTTTGCTAAATGAGATAAAGTTACTTAGCTTTAAGGATGACTTGGCATAAATGTAAAATAAACTTAGTTCAGCAAAATCTCAGACTTGATTATGTGATGATTTTCTGACACTATTCGACACTGTATAATCTATAAACACGGACTAAAGTTCGGTCTTCTGAGCGGCTGCCAAAGTTTTTAGCTTTGCTAATGTACTTTAATGAAACAACATAATCAAGTCTATTAGAGATTACCTTAAAGGACCATATCCTACAGGTCCACTTATGACATTCGTCATAATTTGTTTTTACATGACCTTTTTCCAACCTATTTTTTATCCCTTAGAATTAAACAGGCTGTACCTTTCAGCTCTGTGCCTTAGTCTGGGCTGAAACACACCTAATTATTTTAATGTGAATGGGCGGGGCTAAACTGCTGTAAGCTGAATAGGTAGATATATATAAACGTACTGGTCTTCGTGACATCACAAAAACAGACGTGGTGTATTAGCAGCTTGGCATACAGCTTGAATTAGAAATGTACTACATCAAACCCTGATTTAAGCACGCAGTTAGCACCATTCTAACCTGGCGGCTAAAAACTTCTATTAACCGTGCTGGGTGACCAGCTAAACCAGCACCAGACCAGAATAAACCAGCATAAACCAGCTTAGACCAGCATGGAATTCATGCTTTTTTTCAGCAGAGAACTCCAAGGTTAAAGGTCATGCCACATACCTGATACACCTCTCCCAGGTAGAAGCAGGGCTTAAGGCACCTCTGGCACGACCCCATCCTCCCTGTGTAGCACCTCCGTGTCAACCACAGCAGAATCTCCCACATTAGCCGTGTGCTGTGGAGCAGTACAGACTCCACCCAGCGCACTAAGCTCCAGGCCATGCTCCGGCTGGTACCCGCTTACCCCCCGGCCTTGCACAACCCCGACCCCACCGCCAGTCTGGGTCACAATCTAACTCTGGACTTTGGTCAGGGCTAATGCTAAGGCTAATTCTTGATGCTAATCTGCACACACTTGCCCTAGAGAGACGCGCCGCTGACTAGAACTCTGTGCCGACTGCATGCAAAGTTTGTGTAAAAGCTCTTTTCTGAAGAGCCTGAGGTAAAAGAGTGCATTTCTCTGGCCGTTTTGTCTAAATGCACCCAGAAGAAAAGTGGGCAGGCTGTGGAAACCTGGCCAGGCTGGGAGGGAAGCAGCCTGAGGTTTGTGGAGAGTCGCTCTTTTACTGGTCATATTCAAGCAGCCATTTCTTGATTCCAAAAACAACCCAGGCCGAGCCACACGGCCCTCTGTGCCCCGTCCATGCGTCCACGTGTCCAAAAGCTTAAAAAATCTCCCAAAACCTTTCACTTCTGCTAAAGCCATCCGGATTCATTCTCCACTAGCAGCTGAAATGACTCACTCTTACAGCTACAAATATATTCAAAATATACATTATTTAATATGCAACTGTGTGTGAGTCACTAGAGGAGAATGAAGCTGGATGACTTTAGCAGAAAGGTTGATGTTAAAACGGGGATGTTTCAAGTAAATAAAAGCTAACATTAGCTAACAACAGCATTTCTCTAGCTAGCTTATATGTCTTGTGTTAGTTTTAGAAGGCCAGACCCTTGTTATACTAAAGTACAGACAAAATTCAGACTACTGGATGCCTGCTGCTGTTTTTAGCTATGCTAATGTACATCATATGTCCAAACGTTTGTGGACACCCCTTCTTATTAGTGAATTTAGCTGCATTAAGGTGCACCCACTGCTGACACAGTAGTTCAAATGCACTTACAGGTTGTGTATTCACTATAATAAATCACCAATAGAATGGGACACCTGGAGAAGCTGCACATGAGCCTAAGGTCACAATGCCCATTGCCAAGCATGGCCTAGAGGGGTATAAAGCCCCCCAGCATTGGACTGTGGAGCAGTGGAACTGCGTTCTGTGGAGTGATGGTGCTCTATCGAAAACCTTTGAGACGAGTTGGAATGATCCAGAACTGACCATCCAACATCAGTTCCTGACCTCACTAATGCTCAATCAAATTCTCACAGCAATGTTCCAACATCTAAAAGCCTTCTCAGAAGAGTTGAGGCTGTTATTGCAGCAAAGGAGAATGAACTTCTTTTAACATTCTTGATTTTGGAACAAACATTGAGAAACATGTTCACAAGGATGAGCAGGTGTCCACAAACTTTTGGCAATATACTTTATCCTACAAACCACATAATCAAGTCTATTAGAAATTACATAAATGGCCATATCCTACAGGATATTCTTAGTCTTTGTGATAATCCAGAGCAGAAGTACAGTTTAAACATTTCCTGAATCTGTAGAGTCGCCCTTTCCATTCCATCTTATCACAAGATTGTATGTGACTCACATCCAGGTTTTGAGGCTATGAAGAGGGGCAGAGACACACGTCATCTGCCTCTTACCATGTGGAACTGGTGTGGAATTTGTGTGTCCGTCTACATTTTTGCGTGAAACTGACCGATGGACACTCAGGAAATCACTAAGGACTGACCCATCATGCCGGAAACCCTTCATTCTTCATTCAGTCCACATCGGAGACTCATGTGAAATGGTGTGCAGAGAGTTTACAGCTGCTGAGTTGCTGCAGCGGTTTTGGAAAGTAGTGATGAAGATAACAGAGCATTTAGATATGAAACATACAAGTATCATGTTATATGAAGAGCCTTTAAAGGAGAGTTTAAGAAGATTTGAACAAATCGAGAGAATAATCTCAGACCCCAGAGGGTTAAGATGGGTGCTAGCACTCATTTGCAATGTACGTAATCGGCCCCTTAAAGAGACAGTCTGGCAAAAGTACCTCATTTTACTTTTGTTTTTCTTCTTACCCCAAATATAACTGATCAGCCAAGACGTGCTTGTCATCTGTATATAAAAATATAGTATTTGTAACATATAGCTGAAAGAGTCATGGCTGCTAAAGAACAAGAATAAAAAACAAAGCTAAAGTGAAAAATTTTGGGAAATGTTTTAAGCTAAGATAGGTAACGTTAGCTTAGGATAGCTAACAATAACATGCTGCTAGCTAGCTTGTTTTGGTTGTGTCATTGACTGTATGGTGGATGTTAAACCAGATGTTTGTAACAGTTTCCAGTGCTAGTAAGTTGATCTGTCACTTTAAGGCATAGTCTTGCAAATGTACAAGATCTTGTCAGAGATCATGTAGCATCATGCTAACTGCATGCCGATAATCACAACATACTCGCCTCAAACTGTGTGGAGTTCCTCAACAATCTCCAATAGATTTAATTATGTGGTCCTTATCAGATTTTGGCTGTTACCTGATTATTCAAGTGATCAGGTAAACCTGCAAAACGCCAGTAAAACACTTTGGAGCAAAGCTGAAACCAACTATGCTTGGTGAAATGAAGAATTTAAATATTCTTTGTCTACTGGATTAGGGTGGTCAGACGTCCCGTTGTCCGGCGCTGGAGTCCCCAGAAAAGTCCCCAAAGAAAGACCTGGCAGCAGAGCAGACGGGCAGACGTCTCACTTTGTGCTTGTTTTGGCCAACAGAGGGGGCTGCTGCTGCAATCTACTGACCACCTCTACCACTCACTCGCCTAGTTTTAAAGAACACTTCTGTGTAAAAACTCCACCAGACACTCGCAAGTGTCACAGTTCCATAGTTTACCATAGCTTCACTTGCCATGGTAGCTACTGTATGATTTTCTGACACAGTTTACAAAGTTACTCAGTTAAAGTTATTTAGTTAGTACCCAGTTTTATCAGTCGGCCTTCACCATAGTTCATTACAGTACAGCACTTACCATGGTCAAAAAACAAGAAACTGAAACTGATCCACCTTTTATATTTCATAGATAAAAACATTGGATATTTTGATGATATTGCGACCGCTGAACTGGAAATCTCCCTGTTTGTCATTTCAGAAATTTGTAACTTAAAAAAAAACAAAAAATGGCAGGATTACTGCCTGTTTAGACCCAGAGTGTCCCTATTATCTGATTACCCAAGTAGCCTGAATTTTGTCCATACTTTTGTTCAATATGTCATACAATATCAAACTGAGCAGATAGCACAATGCTAACTGGTTTACCTAAGCTACCATTTCTTATTAGCTACATTAGCTCCATAGCTCCAGTGCTAAAACTGAAGAAGCATACCTCAGATACCAAATATAGCTTGGCTGATTGACTACATTTCATGTAGGAAACTGGCTGAATTAATTTTTTTCACTCAATTATTCCTTCAAATATAAACATGTCTTTTCTGTACATCTATATTAGACACTACTTTGTTTCTGAAGGGCAGAACAGAGGTTGGTAAACTGTCATAAGTGTTGTATTGTGTCATTATGGTTCATTCTATGCTGAGTGAGAGGAGAATAAGTTGAACGTGAGCGTGTTTTATCACCCTGGTCTGAGCAGATGGAAAAGTATGCATGTTAAAATTATAGCCCGCATGCTTCAGCGCACCGCAAAGCCACGCTGTTATTAAAGAGGAAACAGTGCAAAGAGCTGGAGATCTGCAGTCATGGCCACTACTGACCCATCTGGAAACAATATAATGTTGTTTGTCGACAAAAAAATGCAACTTTCTCAGACGCAAAGAATGCCAGTTAGAAAACAATCCACAACCATGCACATACTGAAGAGTGACGTGTTTAAGGGAAATTACAACAAAATCTTCAAAATTTCTTCAGACTCCATTCATTAGCATGTAAGGAAAGTCATTCAGAGTGGTTTGGTGTGAAATGGTTCAGATTTCTTTACAGTGGTGTTGATAGGAACCAGGGGTCGCCATCTACACGTGTCTTCTGAGCTTTATATGAAATGCTGATGATCGGGAAATAGTGAAAAATCTGAAATAATAAGTTTCCTTACAGGGACTATTTTGCCTCACAACACCCTGCATATTATGAATCTCTCCACCATGAATGGAGTTTAAGGCCCAAATCTTCTTAAAACTATCATAAAACAGTGTCTCAGACATCAGTCAGTGTATTCATAACCATTTCATGTAATAACCAATTCTGTGAGGGAGCTTTTAGAGGTGGACTTCTGGTTCCTATCACAACCACTGTGAACAATTCTGACTCAGTAAGTTTCTGTAGAAAGAAGAATTTCACACCAAACCACTCTGAACGACTCTGTTTAGATCTTAACCACTTAATTATTCAGAAAATTAAAGAATGAAAGAATGGTGGTATTACCTTTTAAAATTGCTTAGTACATAATTTCACAATTTTTTCAAATAAATTCACTGCAGCCCTTTTTTCAGTGTCCAGCCTGTGAAAGGTTTAGAGATTCCTTTTCAGCTTTTTAAAATTCAGTTTTTAACAATCAACCATGTTTTCTTTCTCACAATACCTAAACAAATTACTATAAATGTGAAGTTATTTAGATCTTGCAAAAACAGCAATATATATATATATATATATATATATATATATATATATATATATATATAGTTTGCAAAAACTGCGAAACTGAAGGAACAACTGATAAAAGTTTCGTGCCCTGGGGATAATGCAGTGCTCATCTGGAAACAATATTGTTTTGTTTGTCTTCAAAAAAATGCAAGTAAAGAATGTCAGCTCTTCCAAAACAACACGACACTGCGAGTCTGAACACTTCTGTGGGAAAACCACAGACACTGCTCTGAGAAACTTTCAAATATCATCTCCTTCATTTTTAAATATGATGGTCCAGCTAGGATTTGAGATTAAGTGCTTAGGAGTGATAGTTGAGGAGTCAGTCTACCTGAAATATCACAGAGAAACTGGGACAGCACTACTTTACACAACCTACATATACTGGACACTTTATTAGAAACACCCACCTTGTGCTTCCACTCAGTGGCAACTTTATTAGAAACGCTCATCTTGTACTTCTACAAACTGGCCGCTTTATTAGAAACATACACCTTGTACTTCCACTAACTGG